GAAAAGTTAAAAAAAAAAAAAATAAGAATCAACTTTCTTCAAAAATCTACTTTTCAAATTTTCTTTTTAATAAAAAACATTATATTAAAATATTCTTTTATCTTCTAATCATATAAAAAACTTGATTATAATTTTCTTTTTAATTACTATATAAAAAGATTTATAACCTATTAGAATATGTGTAAGTGCATTTTTTTTTCTATTTGACTTAAGGATTAGCGATTTGCACTCCCTCTATCCTCTCTTATTCGTTTACTCAACATTTTTTTCAAGACGATTGATAATTTAATTTATATTTATTATTAATTGTGTCAAACTTATTTGCATATTGGTTTAAAATATGCAGTATATACGGTATATTTCAATTAATAATACAAATATTGATGAATTTCATTTGTCAAATATAAAAAAGACTACTTGCCCATTCTAAGTAATTCATTGATGAAATCGGTATGAAAGTGTAGAACTTGTCATTGCCCCAAGAAATAAAATATCAAGCAGAAAAGTCTAGTTCGCCTTTAAATTTCTTACACCTAAGGGGATTTCACCAATGATATTGGTTTTGTTTACAAATGATAATTGTATGCGTAATTAACCGTTGCGTAACATGTACCACATCATATTAGTAAAACAATAAACATATCATGTGCATTAACCTTAAACTGATGCTTGAGTTATTACGCCTCCCATAAATATACCGATCGACTAATTAGTTTGTTGTAGAAATCTTGATGTAATATATCTTGAGCACTGAATTCTGAACGATCAATTTTTCTTCGTTCCGGGTAATTCGGGGTCTATTAAAGTTTGATCCAATTGTTGTTCATTTTCATATTTTCCAACATATTCTTTCTTTTAGAGTGATTCCTAATATAATATATGGAAGGTAGACAAGATCCACCGATAATAAGATTTGATGAATCTGATATAATTTCAACTTCTCCCGCTCTTTTACAAGTTTCCGGCACTCAGATTAAAATTTCACAATCAGTCTCTCCAGGATATGAAATTCCCAACTCACAATTCAACCAATCTCAGAATGTTGATATAAGATCATTCAATTTATCAGATCAAGTTGGGGAAGATGATGAGCAAATTGCCCAAACATCTCGTAGAATACCCTCGTTTTTACAACGGCAAAGGAGAAAATCTTTGCACGTTGATGACGACCTCATTCCGATGTCAAATTTTTCCAACCGTGATAAAGAAAGCGTGACTAATGAAAAAAAAATTCAAAAGGATTATGAAATAGATCAGGAATCTTCGCAAACTGGGAAAATGCATAATCGACTGTTGTCTATCAAGCGCTCAAAGAGGTTTGGGATGGTGAGTCAGTTAGTATCAGAGGCGTCTTCGCGGGTTGTAAATTTGGCAAATGTGTCGATGGAACAACATCAGAAAGAGCGTTCAAGTTTAACGGATACGTTAGGGCCTTCAAGTATGAAAAACTTGGCCTCCACTTTCAAGGATTCTTTGAAAAACGAAGAATTCGCCTCGCAACAAAAGCAAGGAGTTGGGTTAGATCCCCCAAATTTTAGTTCTTGTAATATTGAGCCGCTCAAAGGTTATTCATTGGGCATTTTCTCACCGAACAATTCCATAAGATTATGGTTTTATGGTGTGCTGAATAAGACGTACGCACATATTTTCTTCGATATTTGATTTAATCTTTTACCATTGGTTGCTAACTCGCCAACTCGATATATACATGTATCATTTTAGGTGGACCGAGCCTATAATATTATGTTTCATTGTAATTCACATCATACTTTTGGTTGCTGATGCATGGGTTCCATTCGAGGATAGTCCAAATGCTCCAATTACGCCGCCAAATATTTGGGGTAGTTCGTGGACTGACTATGGATTATTGATCGTGTTTACTATATTCACGTAAGATTTGGCAATATCCAACTTTTTTTCAATTATTTTTTTTCTTGAAAAAGAAAGACTCATTGGATCTTTCGTGTAGAATTGAAATTCTTGCAAGGATTATTGTCTCAGGATTAATTTTTGGACCAGAAAAAAACATAAGGACAAAATCGCCCATTGTATCAGATTTGAACGAATCTCATCACTCAAAGACTCCATCGATTTCGCTTAATTCGCGGCAGACATTATATAATATACCATTTCTTCGCCATACGTTCAATCGCACCGATTTTCTGGCTGTTTGCAGCTATTGGATCGATTTGGCACTCACACTTTCTGATGTGCAGCATTTTCTACTTTTCAGAGCTTTATCGACCTTAAGGTAGGTACTTTCTTGAATATTTAAAGTTCTCGCGATTTATATTCAATGCCTAAACGCAAATTTTCGCCATTATAAACATGTAGGAGTATTCGTTTGCTATCCCTAACTAGTGGAACGTATACAATTTTGCAATCTTTGAAAAAAAGCCTACCATTATTGGTCAATGTCTCCTCCTTTGTTTGCTTTTGCCTTGTCATCTTCAGTATATTTGGTGTGCAAAGTTTTCGAGGATCCTATTCGAGACGATGCGTGTGGTCTGACGTTCCGGGATTCCCAACTGTGCCTGATCCAAATATGACCAACAACATTTTGCGAAGTCAATTCTGTGGAGGGTATATTGATGCTGATGGGAACAAGAGGCCCGCCTTTAATTCCAGCGCATCATATCCTAAAGGGTACATTTGTCCAATAAACCAAATTTGCATGGTCTGTTTTTAAGTAATTTTCGTAGCAACATTAATTTCGTGTCGTGTTGTAGTTAATACATATTTGATTTTTAAAATCAGACTGTGGGAAATCCCTATAATGATATGGTCTCCTTCGATAATGTTCTGTCCTCATTTATTCTGGTCATTGTGATAGCTTCGAGTAAGGGATCTTTCTATACTTAATGAATTATCCGGTTTTCTATAACCGAAAAAATTAATCAAGCGCCGTATATCCATTTAGCCGAAAATTGGACTGACATTATGTATCACGTCATGGATGCCGAATATGACTGGTCTAGCTTGTATTTCATCGTAGCTGTCATCATCCTAGCCTTCTGGCTGATTAATTTTTTTGTTGCTGTGATCACTACGATGTTTGCCAAAATTCGTGAAGATTCTTCACACTCGGCATTCACATTATCAAAGCAAGTGTTTTTAAATTAAATTTTTTTTTTCTAAACTTCGCGTCCACATTACTTCTCTAATCAATCACATATGAAACATATATGATTTGTAGATCAGCTCCAATTTTAACGGACGACACCGACGGATGGATTCTAAACGACGATCAAAGAACATCGGAAGAAAATTTTCTTAGTCGTCTCATGAAGCGAACAAAATATGTGTGGATCTTATGTATCTTTATTGATATTTTTATAATGGCATTCAAAACCGCAAATATGGATGACAACACTCAAATATTTATTGGTAGGTTCGTTGATTCAATTCCACGTTTTGATAATCAATGCTACTGCGAAATTATTACTAAAAATTTTTTATATCCAGATCGATCCGAAACCATAATCACTATGATTTTAGCTGTCGAAATATTATTGAGGTTCTGCTCTTACCTCCCAAGATGTCGATCTTTTTTCTATTTCAAAGCAAACACCGTTGACCTGGTACTGGCGATTGTCACTTGCATAATGCAAATCTCGGTCTTCAAAACCTCTCCAGTCTACAACTACCTAACGATCTTCCAGATTGCACGCGTTTATCGCGTCCTTATTGCAATTCCACGGCTGAGAGACATTTTGGTAAAGTAGACATAGAGTTTCGCTCATAATCTCGCGCGTTCTTAGAAACCATTCTCATTATCTATTTCAAATTAAGATGCGCGTATTAGGTAGTGTGGCTGGTCTGGCCAATTTGATTTTCTTCATTATTATGATCAACTTCTTGGCGGCCATAATTGTAAGTATTAATATTTGACTCTGAGTGCGTATATTTCCAAGGATTACTCGTACATAATGACTTACCTGAGTTTTCGGTACCAGGGAATTCAATTGCTGCGTGGTGTCATCCCGTACAATGATCCTAACGGAGGTCAAAACGTCATGCGTTTTAGTGACATCTACAACAGCTTTCTTACGTTTTACCAGGTATTCGAACTTTACTGCCCCTTGTCTCATTGAGAGCCTTGCAAGCTAATTTATCGTTGTGCTATGCCCTTGAAAGCTCTTTTCTACGGAAAATTGGACCAATGTTCTATATAGTGCATTAAATTACGAGTCCATTGTTGGTTCTCCAGTCACCGCCGTAATAGCAGCTCTGTTTCTCGTAGCCTATGTCACCTTGTCAAATTGTGAGTTCAGGCATGACCGTTTAATCTTAAAAATGCTACGAACTGAGTAATTCCTTCTTTTTTTTTTTTTTCTAGTCATTCTTTTGAACATGTTTATTGCCGTCATAGAGGAAAATTTCGAGGTAGCCGAAAAGGAGAAGCACAAGAGGCAACTTGAAACCTTCCGTCGAAATATCGATCCATCAAAGAAAGATGATATCGCACACCGATGGAATGTGTACAAATATTTTGAGGCGAAACCCAAGGCTCTGGTTGTTGAGTCTTTTCCGTCTAACCTTGTATTGCATGTTCAAAAGAATCGCGTGAGAGACTTTCTCAATTATGGGTGTGAAAAGTATTTCGGGAAAAAGGTTTTGTCTTGTTTATCATTTTCATTCATCTATACTCATTAATATATCGTGTGTCTAGTTGGGTGACCCTAGTTTTTTTTTTTTTTAGGACTGCTTAGATACAGAGTCTTTCGATCGACCGGACAATCTTGTTACGCGTATCAACCGATTTTTTGGCGTTGAAATCGAGTCAGATCAGATTCCATTACTTGAGCAAATAGACCGGCAGCAGAGTCCTGATGCTAAGGATTCTCAGGGAGGAGGTGGTCTTCTCATGGGTGAACAGGTCAATGATAATTCAATCGAAGCATTCATGGACGATTATAATGAACGTCAGGCGTTAAAGGCAGATTTTATTGCGGCGCACCCAAATTATGATGCATCACTTTGGTTCTTCTCTCCTCGTAACAAGATTCGACGAACCTGCCAGCTTCTTGTTCCATCCAGTCATGGAAAACGGATTTATGGCATTCCTCATTCGAAAGAATTGAATCTCGCATTCAAAACAATAATCTATTTGTGTATCATCACTAGCGTAATCATTGCTACAATCGCAGTTCCGGCTTATATAAAAGAAAACTACGTTAACCTAGACGGATCTTTTCCGAGGTACACCTGGTTTTGGTGCATGGACGTAGCCCTGACCATGGTGTTTACGGCAGAATTTTTTATCAAAATAATTGCAGATGGCTTCCTATTGACACCAAATGCGTACATGTTAAATGTTTGGAACCAACTGGACTTATTTATTTTGATTACTCTATACGTAAACATTGCGGTCGGAGCCAATGCTAGTTCGTCCAGCATTTCAAAGGTATTTCGGGCAATAAAGTCACTCCGCGCTCTAAGGTTGATCAATCTGACGAGTTCGATAAAAAAAAATTTTTATGCGATCCTTATCTCGGGGGCGCCGAGAATATTTGATGCATCCTTCTTGTCTCTCAGCCTTATCATACCGTATGCGATATACGGGACGAACATCTTTGCTGGACTTTTCTACCAATGCAACGATGCCTCTGCGAGCAATAAGACTCAATGCGTTGGTGAATACATCCAATCGCCATTTCTTCAATGGAACGTCCTTCTTCCAAGGGTCTGGAATACCCCTTATTCGTACAGTTTCGATGATTTCAAGTCAAGCTTCCTTATTCTATTTGAAATTGTATCCGAGGAAGGTTGGGTTGATGTCATGTCAAGCTCCATGCAAATTGCTGGGCGAGATTTGCAACCTCGGCCGAATGTATCGGTGTGGAACTCGGTATACTTTTGTGTATTCAACTTGGCGGGTGCGGTTTTTGTGTTGACCATGTTCGTTAGTGTCATTGTTTCCAATTATCAGGAGAAATCAGGAGATGCATATCTCACCGAGGAACAAAAGCGATGGATGGATCTTAAGAAATTGTTAAAACAAATAAAACCGTCGAAAAGGCCAAAAGTTCGACCACAAAGTCGGTTTAGGGCCTTTTGTTTTGATTGTGCTGCGGAGAAGAAAGGAATTTGGCATAAATTTATTACCGGCGTCTATATTCTGCATATTCTATTGCTCATGACTGAAATTCAAGACCCAGCAGCCTGGTTGGATCTCACTAGAAGTACGTCTCTCTTTTTCTTTGTTTTTATGTCATATACTGTATTTTCCAAAAAACCCCAATGCGTTCCATTAACCTTTTCCCTTTGTAGACATCCTTTTTATCATTTTCATACTTATATACATATTGGAGGTTCTCATGAAGTTATTTGGCTTTGGTTGGAGGGTTTTCAGGATCAACCGATGGAACCTTTTTGATGCAGTGGTGGTTCTCGGTGCCGCCATAACAACCGTGCCGGCCGTGGATCTGTCATTTAAAAATGAACTCTCATTGCAGCTTCAAAAGGCCTTCTTGCTATTAATAACATTTAAATTATTTCAAAAGAGTGATACGATGAATCAATTATTTAAAAACATGGTGTAAGTAGAATCCCAGTATCAACGGTGTTGTCATTAAGATTTGCATTCTATTCATTTTCCTCTTTAAAAAAAAACAACCATTGTCGCGATGTGAACTTTAGTGGAAGTCTGCCTTCTATTTTTAATTTATTCGCGGTATGGTTTATCATATTCCTCGTGTATGCAATAACATTCATGGAGATATTCGGACTCACAAGATATGGTATAAACGGGGGCGATCATGTGAATTTTCGAAATTTTGGGAATGCCATGTTGACACTTGCCCGAATGTCCACCGGGTAGGCCAATTTTTTTACTCTTTTTATATGCCACTAGTGACCGAAAATAACACAGATCACTCATGTCTTCACTTTTCACTTGCAGCGAGGCGTGGAATTATGTTATGCACGATTTTGCCATTGAATCACCAAGCTGTGTAGAGGACGATTCGTTCTTCAATTCAGATTGTGGAAGTATCCCATGGGCTTATTTCCTGTTTATCTCATGGAATGTGTTGTCCATGTATATTTTCGCAAATATGTTCGTTGTCGTCGTCGTGGATAACTTTTCATATTGCTATCAAATTGCCGCCGAGTTTTCTTTGGTTAACCGTGATGAAATCAGAAAATATCCTTTCATTGTTATTTCCATTGCTTACGTAAACCTTACAAACTACTCGTGAATTCCTTAACCGCGGATTTTTTTTTTTTTTTATTTACGTTTAAAAGAGCTTGGGGCTTGATAGACACGGATCGAACGGGATATATCAAAAGTCAAGATTTTACAAAATTCTTTGCTGTACGTAGATGAAATAAGAAAATGCCATGACCCTGGTATTAATATTGACATTTATTCCAGGACTAATTTTTTTATGCATGTAAAAATAGAAACTCGAAGGATCTTTTCGAGTTCGAGTATATGATGACGAATTTCTCGTTCCTAATTTAATTAAAGACTCGAAGGTTGATGATGAGTTCGATGGGATAAATCAATTACGGAAAGATTACAAGCAGAGAAAAAATACTCTTGAGGTTGATTACTTGGACGTTGAAAAATTGAAACACCGCCTGAGCAAAATTCATTCGAACAAAGTATATGAGAGGCGAAAAACATACAATCTTGTTTATCAGGTAATCTTTATAAATGCAGGATTTTCCTTGGGCAGATTTTTCATTAGAATTAATTTGCCTTTCATATTCAGGAAGCTCTGTTGTCGACGGAGAGGGATGTCAATGGAAATGAAAAAGGGATCTCCTTTACCAATATGCTTTTAATGCTTGCCCATTATAAGCTCATTGATGACGAAAAGTGCCTAGAGTAAGTTAAAATAATGTAATTATAATTTACTGTTATTTTGAAAAACCTTTTTTTCGAAAACAAAATCTATCGTGAAATTACTAGGATTCAAGAATATGTCAAAAGAAAGATAAAGACCGATAGAGTAGCAGATAATGTTAATAAAGATCGCGTAAAATCGTTGTTACGCACGATCTATTTGCGTCGAAAATACAAAGCTATTAGGGAGCAGAAGTTGAATGCCAAAAAGATGAATGATACTGGTAACTTGGCGGTTATGCGCATTTATTTTAGAAAGATGCCTATTGTAATACTTAGGCTTATTTTACATTTATCATTAGTTCCTCGGATTATGGTTGATATTTTTAACGATGAAGAGGAGGAGGAAGAAAGAACACCCGGCCTTAGGATTGATACGAACCTTATACTTGGAATGAACTCAAAAATCCGAATTTCCATGAGTTCAGCCAGTTCTCCTGGGTCTGATGGTTCACCAGCCGGAAGTTCCTTAAATCTTTTTTCATCTCAGAATTCGTCCGGAGACAATTCACCGAGACATTCAATTAACACGTAAGGCATAATTTTTTTACTTGAAAATTGTTTTTCTACACCTACATTGACCTCCATTTTTTGCTGTATACTGTAGACCTCCCGTGACAAACAATTTTGGAAATTTCACATTAGACTCGATCGATACTAATAATGATATAGACGATAATACAGCGAATCTAATGTTGACCACCTTTCAGAACATCCGTTGGCACGGTAATATATTTCTTTAAAAATATGTGTCGCTAATTTATTTCCCTTTGCTAATCGGAAGCATCATATTCTAGATATATTACAACAAATATCGAATGAAAATTCTACGGAATAATCATATACATAGTTGCATCGTTTCATCTCATCACACTTACAATTACATTCATAGTTAGATTTTAAAACTGTATAGACTTTGTACATTTCGTTTATCATATTTGTATATTAAATCACTTTGCATTAGAGTGCGTCATATGTGCTGCGCCCTGATATTGGAAATGATCATCCATTTGCATCACGTGCTTGATATGCATTAATAGGGTCAATGTTCTTTTCATCATAATAAAAGATGTCTGGCAATATAGTTAGATCACCTGAACGCATCGACAAAAAGGTTTTGGTGGATCTAATGAAAGATAAAAGCAAAGTTCCCGGAGTTGATTATTTGGTTGTTGACGTTCGCGATGATGATTATGTGGTATGAAAGGAGAACCTCCCCCCTTACACCTTCACGCACAGATTCGATGTTAAAATAATAAGAATTTTATGGTTTATGTCCTTTTTTTATCAACTCGTTGTTCCAGGGTGGTAATATTCCAAACAGCATCAATGTTCCATCCACCCAAATTAATGATAAATTAGATGAATTGATTGACAAGTATAGTCGAGGTAAATTGTTCTAAAAGGATTGTTATCATTGCACTTTCTCGTTTCCTCAAAATCATATTATTAACATCTCTTGTGACAAAAGTACCGCAAATCATCTTCACCTGTGCTCAGTCTCAAATTCGGGGACCAAAATGTGCAAGAAAATACTATGAGAGATTGTCCGCTAGAGATATTGCATCAAACACCAAGATTCATATATTGAAAGGGGGATTCCACGAATGGCAATACAATTATAAAGATGATCCGGAGTTGGTGAAAGATTACGATTACGAATATTCGGAGTATCTTTATTAACTTTGAAAAATAGACAGTTACTTGATTTTACCGATACCCTACACACCTGCAAAAGTTTTATATGAAACCGAGTAATTAAATTTTCCTAGAGAGATTTATTTTGTTCCGTGTTCGTCGGATTTACATAGGCAATATATACGTCGATTCAAGAAACAATTAATTATTCGGAAATTACTGCAGTGTATAATTTATTATATTCTTGACAAATTATTGATTTTAATACACTGTTTACAAATTTATCGTGAAATCAAGTCTACTCTATACGGTATATTGTATCTAGAATTACATCTAAAGGAACTTGGCATATATTTATGACGCGGTTAAAATAGTCTATTATCCTAAAAGTTAATTAAGCAATTTTTAAATATAATTGCTTAATTACTTAATATCGATTATGATTGTTTGAGCATTTGGTTGATTGCTCATTCACCGTATATAATATTAAACTTTCAATTTAAATAATAATCAAAATAAAAAATTTATTGGCAAAATTATTTCAACAACAACAACGATGATATTAATAATCAAAATTTAAAAAATTGTAATAAATACAATATGTTTGTTAATACAGTATATTGCCATTTAAAAATTTTTTTAATAAAATAATCTCTTATAAATAATTAAAATTCTATAATTCTATCAATAAGATTAAAATTTTTAATTACAAAATAATTTGTAAGATAAAAATATACATAACTAAAAAAAAATTAAGTAAAATATATGTTTGTTTATTTATTTAAAATTAAATAAAAAAATTCTTTAAGAACCAATTATTAAAAAATTTATTTATTATTTTTTTTTTTTTAAACCTGTGATCAGGCAATACTGTATATTTATTAATCAATATAAAAACTGATAGAGATACATAGGGCAATTGCATCATGGCTAAACTAAAACTCATGTTAACTCACTTATCAATGACTTTCAATTTTCAAAAAAGCTTCAGTCTCTAAATGCGATCTTGGAAACAATATTTTGTTCTGTAATAGATTTTGGGTGAATATCTCCTAATTTATACATCATTGCTAGCAGATTATTGTTGCTTATTATCCTCCAAGGAATTGATTTTGAGAAACTACAAAAGAAAAAAGTGAAAAAAAAGGAAAGTGAATATCTAAAAATGTACAATTGTGTCACATGAAAATGAAAAAATAAAAAAAAAATTTAAAAATACTTCATATTCTCCAAAGAACTTCTGCTAGAAACCTCTTCTCATTAGAAATCAACCTTTCTGTGATATTCTTCTTCTTTCTGACATCTGAAAAACTTATCTATTTATGATCTTGATTATTTTCTTATAACTATTTGAGGCACTTATTGCCTACTTGGATCCAATATCCTTTTCAATACTTTCTTTCTTTTGATTTTGATTTTATATCTACTTGTACAGAATAGAATGACTAATAGTGAACCTCGGATTTTTATATGGCTTTTCTGTCTTACTGTATAACTCTTAATATTTTCTAGCAGCCATACCTAATTAAAGAAATTTTACTGGTGTTTATTTTGATTGGGATATCATTACACAATATCTGAAAAAATGCATTCTCAATTCTAGAAAAGAGCAGTGTTTTACATTTCTCTACTTTTTAGTCTTACAACTTGATCAGAATAAGGAAATAACTTTTTTGTGTACTTTGCCTGACCCAAATAATAAGAAGTTGAAGATCTTATTTGCACAAATAACTACCTTTTCATTACCTAGGAAATTTAGTACTCATTCTAATGTCCTTATGATTTTTTTGTTTCAGTTACACTTTATTTGGAGAAGTGGAAGAGTCTATATTAGTTATTTTTCTTTTTTTTATTAATAATATCATCAGAACACATGATATAATCAGTATAAACTTGTTTATATTCTGTTACCATGTGTTTTATATCAATAAATTACCTTTAGCAAAAGCTATATTGATTTTGTATCATTCCAAAATTCAGGGTTAAGCTGGAGTAGGCAAAATTTCCTAAAAACTCTGAAAAATAAGCAATTCTAAGAGAGTAGAAATAGTAGAAAGAAAAGTTTTATGTTTAGACTTTTGTTTGCCCATCTATCTACTGTACAAAACCTCTAGTTGCACTTTTGTTTCAAGAAATAGACTTTCAATACTTCACTATTGACTTTTCTTCCTTTTAGAACTTTTTGCCATAGGTAAAAAAGGTGTTTCTTGACTTTTCTTAGTTACCAGAAGTCAAGTTTTTATTTGAAAAAGAATATAAATAGGAAAAAAGAGTTGAAAAGGACTCTTGAAGATTTCTTTCAAGTTGTTTTGAAGAAAGTAATAAAACTTTATTAGCAGAAAAGTATAAAACTTTTTTGCAGAAAGAATTTTTTTTTTTTTTTTTTTTTTTTTTTTTTTTTTTTTTTTTTTTTTTTTTTTTTTTTTTTTTTTTTTTTTTTT